CCCAGCTTTGATTGACTGGTCGTTTGTGAAAACAGGTTCTGGTGGACATGGTGGACCGAGTTGGAAAAATAAATGTTGATGGAAAGATTAAAGATTTGTACTTCGAACTGAACAAGTGGTCGTTTGAGAGTGAGTACTGCCATCCTGTTTTGTTCTAAATATCAAGTTTGGCCAAGAAAGTAGTAAAAATGTATATATATTTTTTTTTTTTTTTGTAGTTTTGTTTTGGTCTAATATTTTGTGTGCTTTGATTAAAGAAAATCTACAACAATGAGAATAAAATCTGTTTTTCCTCTAAAATGACTATAAAAATCTTTAGTTTTGTCAGGTTTTTATTTTGCAGTCGTGCTCTGTGGTTGTTTGCGACCTCAAAAAGCACATGCTTGACTCCAAAATTCAAAAAAAGCTCAAACATGATCTAAATCCTTGTTTCGTTTTGTCTCTCAGCCATTTGTCTCGTGCTGTATGGCAAGAGATTTGGTCTGCTGCAGGAGGAAGTCAACGAGGAAGCCATGAACTTCATCACAGCTGTGAAAACGGTGAGCATCAGTCTTCTTCCATGGCAACAAGAGTTTTGCATTTTGTAATGATGCTTGTGACGACCGGTGAGACATGGAGGCTGATTTTTCTTCTGGGGAGCTCAGCTGAAGATGTTCAGTAATAAATAAATATTGAAGCAATGATCTGAATCTGTGATGAGCGGGCACTCCTATGAGGATTGAATTTGAGGCTTTCAGTGAAAGTGACAATATTTCTAACTGCTGCATCTTTGTGATCATCTTGGTTTGCTTTCTGCAGATGATGAGCAAATTTGGTAGGATGATGGTCACACCAGTGGAGCTCCACAAGTACTTCAACACCAAAACATGGCAAGACCACACCGCAGCATGGGATCGCATTTTCAGCATAGGTACAAACACAAAACACTTCCTTGTGCTTTGCGTCACGAATACGTCCGCACAGCCCCTACTCATTTCACTCCGGTACTGTTTTTGCTCTACTCTTCCATGACGTGCAAATCAGCTTGAGGTCACTTCCAGTCAGATGATAGATAGCAAAATAAGAGCATGGGCGGAGAGTTCGATTTGAACCGGCTGCCTTCTTGTTTTGTGGACTTGGCACTCGGGGTAAATAATGATTCGGAGTTGTAGTAAACTGCCTGACCTGAGGTGGAGAAATATGCTGAAGATTTCTAGTAGCAGGAGGAGCCAAAGGCGCTGAGGAAGAGGATGCTGAATACTCAAAAAGATGATCAAGCACTCGTTTTTGTTTTAGTGGCAATTTTTCACACAACAGAAATACTTGAAGCAAGACTATAACCAAAATCAACCAGGATGAGGACACGTGAAAACACTGACAATTCTTCTTTTAGTGCATATAATGCATGAATTATGCGGCCTGTTTCTTGAATGTGATTTAAATGCTTCTTATCTCTTCAGCTGTCTGATAAGACCAGTGAAGTAGGGAAACTGTGGAAGTATCACTTATGTTTTATGCTCTTATCATATTGAATAAACTATGAATAGCACTGAAAATAAAAGTAGAATTTTTTTTTTTACATTCCAATAAAGAATATTTAGATTCAAAGTACGCTTTTGACTTCAAATGATGTTAATCATTTTCGGTACGTGAGCTCAGAAAAGGTGGCACATGGCCACAATAATTATTCAGAAATTGCCTTTAGCATGCAACAGTTTCAGTCAGAGACTTCGAGCTCCAGTGCAGGATTTACTTTGATGCATCTCAAAAACTTGGCGTATGTATTTTTGCATCTCTCTATTCACCGTCCCAACAAAGTGGAACAGTGATTATGCGCTTCTGATGACTGAAAAGAACTGTTGGCTACTAGTGCCTGTGTAAACAGAGATACTGTATGCAAATCAGTCTGTTCACACATTGATTGTGCTGCCTTTCCTCAGCCAAAGTCTACATCGACAAGAAGCTGAAGAGGAACGGCGTCAGTGATCCTGATGATTTAATCGGCGAAATCCTGCACCAGAGCTCCCTCTCAAAAAAAGAGTTGTACGCAGCAATCACCGAGCTGCAGATCGGAGGAGTTGAGACTGTGAGTATCAGTTTGCATTGATATGTAATTACTAATATTAGTCAAGTCATGTTTGTTTTTGTTTTTTTTTATGTTTTTATGTTGTCCATATAAAACCCAAGCGAAAAGTCATTCTCATATTTTTCGGCTCATGTTTGCATTTGTCTCACATAAGCTTTAATTAGGGCTTTTACTTTCCCTAACCCTGGCAAGTTTTCCCCTAGTTTGAAAATAAACTAATATTTATGAAATATCGAAAGACGTTATTACATTGTATTTAACTCTAGAGTAAATAGTAATGTGCAGATTTATGAACTGGGAAACGTAGACCATCGGCCACAACAAGAGCCCATCTCCAAGAATAGAAAAGAATGCAAAAACAAGTGATGTCATCCACTTAACGTTTTATTCACCCATCTTTCCACCACTACAACCACTTAGTGTTATTTGGCTAAGTGTAAATTTAAGATGAGATCAAATATAACTCTGTCCAAACATAAGAAAAACTAACCGGGAAGTAAGCTTGTTTAAATATTTGTGTGTTTTTAGGCACAGTTAGTTTGAAAATGTCATTTGACAGCTAATATTTTCTATTTTGACTTTATGCTAAGTTGGGTTTTGCGTATCCATTCACAAAAGCAACAAAAAAAAGCATATTGGAATTGTCCTTTCAACTTTTTTTTTTTTATGTATTTATCCTACACGTTTCTGTTTTCAATTTAAAACCACGAGTTGCGTAGTGTTCCACTTTACTTTTACGAACATTGGTGTTTTCCCTTTCACTTATTTATTTGGTCACGCGTTCAATGACAAAAACAGCTGTTACTGTACTTCAAAAGTGGGACGTAAATATGGTGTGCATGTAACCAAGGAGCCATCGAGGAAGCCCAAACATTCCTCAGCTCCTCTCAGGACCCCCCTGAGGAATGCACTTGGAGTAGCTGCCTTAGTGACGTCACCTGCTTATGTTTTTTTTTTTTTTTTTTCTGCCTTGCTGTGTGTGTGTACAGACCGCCAACAGCATGCTGTGGGTTATTTTCAACCTGTCACGTAACCCCGCTGCTCAGAAGAAGCTGCTGCAGGAAATCAAAGAGGTGGTACCTTCGGGCCAGGACCCCTGTGGAGAGCACATCAAGAACATGCCCTACCTTAAGGCCTGCCTCAAGGAGTCTATGAGGTACAATACAACACTGTTATGAAAGTTATGAGCACGGGTGAAATGACCAAACACGGTCCAGATGTACATTGTTGCTTCACGTGAACCTCTCTGCTGGAAATGATGCAACACTAAGTGTTGGAGTAAAGGAAGCAGAAACATTCTTTAGCGCCTTGAATGCATAAATTACGCCCTAAAACAACTTTTCTATTACCAATGTGCTGGTCAGATCAATTGAAAAATGGTAGCAGCTTTAAATGAGACTGACATATCAGTGTTGAGCCAAACTCATCATAAATCCCCACCATCACATAAATTAAGAGGAAGAAATACACGACTGCCTGAAAAATAAGCTTCACTCCATGTGATCCATAAAATAGTTTCCTTGCCTTCGTCTCGTATAGTCTCTCCCAACTTTTTGTGCAGTCACCCGAGCTGTAACGAATGCCAAAGCAAACATCACAACAGGGGATGCAATTGACCTCTGACTGAAGATTATCTCGCCTGTGCATGTCTGGATCCTGTTAAACAGCTTAGACACCTTTGATACGCTGCGAGACCTGTTCTCATGTGTGTTTGTTGTTGTTTGTAACTCGTGCAGGTTGTCACCGTCGGTTCCATTCACCTGCAGAACTCTGGACAAAGACACTGTGTTGGGAGATTATACCATTCCCAAAGGGGTAAGTGGCTTACTTCTCGGTACACCGACATTAGGAGATTAGGTTTTTGTGTAAATTTACATTTAACTGATGTCTGAAACGTGCTGCAAAGTCCTGCTCAGACACTGTGCTGTATCCAAATGTGGCAACACTAATGGCATGAGCCAGACCAGGAAAGGTCTTTACTGGACTTTAGACTCATAAACTACAGTGTTCTTAACATTATGGCAATACTGCTTCTAAAACAAACAACTTTTTCTTTTACAGACGGTGCTGATGATCAACAGCCACGTACTGGGGTCTAATGAGGAGTATTTTGATGATGGCAAACATTTCAGACCTGAGCGCTGGCTGCGGGAGAACAACACCATCAATCCTTTCGCCCACGTTCCGTTTGGCATCGGGAAGAGGATGTGCATTGGCCGACGGCTGGCAGAGCTGCAGCTGCAGCTGGCCATGTGCTGGGTACAATTGCCACAAATCACATAAAACCAGGAGTGGTTAGTTTATTTTGACTTTAAAGCATCATATGAAACTCATTTTTATTTTTTCTTTCTTGCAGTTGGTCAGAGACTACGAAATTGTAGCAACCGATAACGAACCGCTTGACGTGATTCATTCAGGGCTTTTGGTCCCCAAAAGAGAACTGCCAGTTGCTTTCATCAAAAGATAAAGTAAGAAGATAGATTATTTATTATTTATTTATTTGGGGGGGGGATGGGAGGGTTTGCCTGAATCGGCAAAAAATGTGTTTTAATATAGTTTTGTGTATGTGTGTGTGGTAATGATGAAGCATATCAGAGTAGTCGGTTGGCTTAGCCATACGTAATTACTAGAAGTCATTTGAAAATGTTTCATCCTTACATTGAAAATATTAAAACAAAATAAAATAAAATAAAATAGTCACCAGTTCTGAAACTTGAAGACTTAAGATGCAATACCACTAAAAACCACTAGATGGGGGTAAAAACGTGCCTGTTTGTTTGTGGCCCTACTGTCTAAATATACAAATGAATATGGCAAGTTGAGTCTTCAAAAAGTCAGTAAAACAAAAGTTGTTTATGATTTTTATTTTGCAAGACATAAGCAATACATGATAGGTTGGTTAATGAGGTGCTGGTAGACAAGTTTAGTACTTTCCTTGTTTAGTTTATCATGTAATGAAAGGGACAACTTTGAGTCATAGTCAAATATTTCTAAAACATCCCATTTTCTCGTACTGTATTGTATTTCTATCCATTATGAGATAATCCACATGAGCTCTGTGCTTAAACTTGATTTGTTTTTGTTCTTTCCCTTTAAGGCTTGATGTTCAAAACTTGTGGACATGGAGACAGAATACATCTGTTGCCATGGTCCCAGCTGTCCAGTGACTCCCTGAATTGCTGCTCTGTACATAAAAAAGACTGAAATAATTATAACTGTGCCATAAATACCTCACTTATTTAAAACTAATATGTATACATGTCCATGCCTGAACAAATAACCCAGTTGTAATGTACAAATTGAATGTTGTACCAAGGCAGCTGTACTAAAATCTGTAAAATGTCATGTAGATTTGAATGTTGATTGTGTTTATATTATTACTTGTTTATTAACTTGTGTAAATAAGTGGGTCTAGCAAAATGTGTGTATTTTTTTCATTGTATATATAAAGTTTTAATATAACTGTATTGTAACAATGTATTGTGAAGAAAATATTTTATCCACTTAAATAAATAAATAAATGTGTAACAGCTTAATCACCGTGTATTTCCTGAACTGTTTATTTGAACCTTTTATTTCATTGAGCACAGAAAATAGACTTTTACTTTACTTTTGGTAGAAGTATGTTAGAAATGCAGCTGCCAGGTAAAAGATACTGGTAGGCCAAAGAGGAGATACGGGTGCAGTTAGAGATGACATGGAGGTAGTTGGAGTGAGGACAGAGGATGCAGAGGACAGAGATATGGAGGATAACCAACTGTGGTGAGCCCTGAAGAGGGAACAGCCAAAACATGAAGATGGACTTCATTTGCACACATTGTCTTCATCATTAAGTAAACATGTGGTATATTGTAGTGTAAATGCTACATACATGGCAACACGGTGGCACAGTTGGTAGAACTGCTGGCTCTCAGCGAGCAGGTCGCCAGATCAAATCCCAGCTGGGGGCCATTCTGTGTGGAGTTTGCATGTTCTCGCCATGCATGCGTGTGTTTTCTCTGCATATTCCAGTTTCTGCACAGACTAAAAAAAACATTCATGTTAGGCTGATCGGTAACTCTAAATTTTCCCTAGGTGTGAGTGAGAGAGTGAATGGTTGTCTCGTTTGTCTCTATGTCCCTGTGATGGGACTGGAGACCTGTCCAAGGTGGCCACCTCCTCTTGTACGGTGATGGTGGATATGGGCACCAGTGACCTCTGTGACCTGAAAAGGAAGAAGCGGGTAAAGCTAATGAGTGGATGCTATAAATACATAGTTTTAGTGAAATGGGTTTTTTTTTCCTGTTTGCTCTTTTGGTGTGCATCCCCTATTTTTTATTCTAAAAATGTAGAAAATAAGCCCATCTTCCCATTGCCATATTCTTGCTTTGATCAACATAAAACAACTTAAACATGAATGATCCAAGTGTCTTCTTGTGTTTAACAGATTGCATTTTCAGTTATCCAAATTGATGGGTACCACTTTACAATAAGGCCCCTCTTATAGATGGCTAATTAATAGTTTATAGATGTTAATTCCTCTATAAATGCTTTATAATTGTTTATTATGCATTAATTAAGCGTGACAGAGAGGCAAAACTGACCCGTTTCTTGCGAAATAGTGAACCAAATCTGTTCACATCTATTTCATCTAGAGTTGTTACATTAAACATTTCAGACTACCGTGTAAACACAAGCATTTGTAAACCTATTTCTTTAGGATATAATATTAGTTGTACGTATTATTCAGTGATAAAGTGAATGGAATGTACTTATATTGCGCCTTTCTATCATCGAGAAAGAAAATACACTACAATCTGTGCCCTCATTTACTTGTTCATACAGCACTCTACTAGATCTATACAAAAACTAATTAGAGCTTTATCACATTCATAGACCGATGGGACACACATCGGAGGCAGTGAGGGGTTCAGTGTCTTGCCCAGGGACACTTCAACATGTGACTACAGTTGGAATCAAACCCACAACTCTTGCATTGAAGGGCGACTGCTATAACCACTCAGCCACAGCTGCCACAAGTACAATATTAAATACTAAAAAATAGGTTTACAAATGCTTATTGTGCTTACAAGGTAGTAACTTAGTCTGAAATGTTTAATAAAACAACTCTAAATGAAATATATAAGTGAACAGATGTGGCTCACTATTTGGCCCAAAACTGGTCAGTTTTGTCTCTCTGTCACCCTTAATGCAGAATAAGCAGTTATTGATGATTTATAAAGTGTTTATAGAGGAATTACTAACTTAGCTATAAACTATTTATTAACCACCAAGGGGAGCCTTATTGTAAAGTGGTACCAATTGTTGCCAGTACGCCTGTGAAGGAGACAAATGCTAAATTAATTCATCCACATACTGATAAGAAATCTGTGAGGACTCCAACCAGTTTTCTAGAACCGAACCCCAAAAATACCTGTTTAAAAATTAGGGCAGATAATTAAATCCACTATTATAGCAATGAGTTTGTAAAATGACTTGAGGTTTAATGTTCCCTTTAACCTAAATAAAGTTTTCCTAAACATGTTGACCACACTGCAAACTGAAACAAAGTTTTTTTTTTGTGTTTCCATGTTTATTTTTTCGAGCCAGAACTTCTTGCTGTTTATGAATTTCACTCTGTCTTAAACCTTTCAGTTCTTGGTCGGTCTAACTGAACTCGCCTGATCCTGAAATCTCATAAACACGTTACACAACCTCCTGTTACTGTACTCGGGAGTTAACGTGTGTGTTAAGAAAGTGGGCTGTTAGTTCAGGAGCATAAACATCTTGGTTATTAGGTCTGACAAGTACAAGTAAATGCTAAAAACAACAAAACAAAAGCAAATCGTAACAAAGGGTGAAGAATGCAGATAAGCTTTGGATTTTACAGGTTAAGTACTCAAATACTGTCAAGAATTAAAAAGTAAAAAAAACAAGTGCATTCAAGTGAAGCACACCGACACGGGAGGGTCGGTTCAATAAGAAAACACTGAAGGAGGAAAACATTTATTTAAACCTTTTTATTATTATTTTTTTAACCAATATGTTTTTGCTTTGTGGTACATTTCTATATGAAGCAAGATAAAAAATAAAAATATACCCTACAGCTCGTTATTTAACTTTTAATTTGTCTAAACTTGGGGTGTTTTTTTTTTTTTTATTGAATCAGTAATTTTTTCTGTGAATATTATGCACAAACCTACAAAGAAAAGTGAATGACTCATAGTCACAGCCTATAGATGTGTTAAAATTGTGTTTTTTTTTATTATTTGTCTTGTTTTCTCCTTTAACACACCTGCATTCATTACCAAATCATCAAACCTGGCATTTTTAATGGCTTCTTTAGATATATGGGATTTTTCCCACCAGATTTTGTTTAAAGAACTTTGTGTTTCAAACAAATAAACCCTTTAAAATATTTCACAAACAATTTTAAATAAAAAGGTAATTACATTAATGTGAAAGCACTACATCATATTCAAATTGCTTGGCTTAAAGCATTGATACTGTGTATGTTTGATAACGTTACCAAAAGATAAATTATCTTTTATTATGACTCAGTGGTCAATTTTAATCTATAGAACGTGACGTTCTTAAAAACACATTTAAACACCCGTGTTCTTGGAATAGATTATCTTATAGTTATTTATAAATGAAGTGAAACACTAGTTCTCACCTCAGTGGAACTGAGTGGACTCACTTGACCTGCATGTGCTGTTCTTACGTGACCCCGAGTGGTTAAACAACTGCCAAGTTCAACGGGCCTTCGATGAAACAAGGACTGATAAAAGAGAAAAACATTTACAATGGAACGAGTACTGATGATGGACGTTTATCATGTTTACTAGTATGCAACCCTAAATAAGAAAAAACATGGATGGTACAAAAAATACTAACAATACAGCATTTCTCACACGTACTTTGTGTGTATATGGTGTGTGATACATACATGATCTTTAAATGTGCATGTATGGGGAATAAAGTCCATCTGACAGGAGAATCCTTACATACTATTGTGTTTATATGAGCTGCTGGTGGCTGAAAGCTGGGGCACTGCTGAACTGTCGGAGCAAACAGGTGCCTGGCTTTAGCTTTCGGCTCTTTATGAAAAGAAATTCCTCCAGAGTCCTCAAATCCTTTAATCGTGTTATGCAGTGTTTGAACTTTTCTTTGAACATTAGAATGTTTTTTAACTTTTTTTTCATTGTTTTTCTCGTGAATTTGTTAATGAACTAAACAACTTTTGTCCAGTTTTGCTCCTCGAACACTCTTGTTGATAATACTTCTGTACCAATTTTTGATTATATTCACCATTTAAAAAAATAAAGAAAAAAAACTAATGACTTTTGTTTCTCTTATTACCTTAACTGTATGCATGACAACTATTTTATAGTGGCTTGATGAGACAAAACATCAAATATTTAGGTGTTTATTGTTTGCAAAGAAATACAATAAATTCACACAATCACTATATTTCTACGTATATATATTTTTCAAATGCAACCTCTTTTAAAAATACTATTCTCGTTGCAAACTTTATAAATTTATTAGGACATGGTTTACATAACTTCAAACCAGCCACTAGGGAGCACAAGTCAATGGATTTGTTGTGCCGTTCCCAAGCCTGGGTAAATGGTGAGGGTTGTGTCAGGAAGTGCATCTGATGTAAAATATTTTTGCCACAACTAATATGTAAGTTCATCTAAGCGACACTATACCAGATCGGTCGAAGTCTGGGTCAACAACGACTACCACCAGGGTTGTTGACAAACAGGGTGTCGGTGGATATTTTTCTGATGTTAGTCGAAATCTACAAGGAGGAAAACGTATCAGGAGACGGAGGGATAAGAGAAAAGTCATGAATGTAGGATTGAGGGTGGCAACTCTAAATGTGGGGACAATGACAGGCAATGGTAGAGAGCTGGCTGGCATGATGCAGAGAAGGAAGGTAATTAGTTTATGTTTTCAAAAGACCAAGTGGAAGGGCAGCAAGGCTTGCAGCATTGGAGAAGGGTTCAGACTGTTTTACCATGGTGTGGATAGAAAGAGAAATGGAGTAGGGGTTGTCCTGAAGGAGAAGTTGACAAACAATGCAGTAGAGGAGACATGAGTGTCAGATAGGGTGATGTGTCTGAAGGTAGAAGTAGGTCTGATGCTAAATATTGACAGTGATTACACTCCACAGGTTGGGTGTCGTGTAGAGGAGAAAGATCATTTTTTGATGAATCTGGATGAGGTGATAGAGAATATTCCCAGGGAGGAGAGAGTGATGATCGGAGCAGACCTGAATGGACATGTTGGTGAAGGAAACAGAGGGGATGAGGAAGTGATGGGTAGGTTTGGTGTCAAGGAAAAAAAAAATCTCAATTTGTACGCATCCTTTATGATTGTCTATTGTTGACTTTGTTGTCCACTGTTGTCATCACTGTTTGTTAAAATCATCTCTCTCTTGTAAATGGGTTAGCTAAATGGGATTAACCAGTATAAATAAAGGTTGAACGAACCTCTTCTACTTGCCTTTTTCTCTCTTTCATTATATTGTCTAACATTAGGGCAATATAGAAATGCCCTAATGTTAAATGTTGTTATTAGTGCACAAGATAATGAAAAAAAGATGAATTGTGTTTTCAACACTTTATGGCAAACAGTTTTAAGAAATTTAAATTAAAGATCAAACTGTATGTGAATAAGTCAAATTACTACAGTGGCCTAGAAGGGACAAAACACACACTCAGCCACTTAAAATGAACATATTTGTCTAGTGTGCAGTGTAAGACACTAGGTGTCACTATGTCACATTCAACATGACCTTTAACTAATAGTCTTCTATTTGGTTAGTCTTCTGTTTAATTAAAGAAAAACTGTTGAATTTGAAAGGACTGTGCATTATTTTGGGAATTAACATATCAGGGATTTTGCAAGTATTGTCACCAACTGCGCATGTGCAGGCAATGTAAACAGCATGTTTAATTGTTTTGTATTTTGATGATTTAGATATTTTTATTTGAGCAAAAAAGAAATCGCTGCTACATATTGTTTAAAAGTCACATATTTTCTTTTTTTTTTCTTTTTTTTTTTTAACAAAAATATGTTGTAAAAAGAGAAATCACTTGTTTTGTCAGGATTTATTTTTAAAGTGGGAAAGTAATTCTTCCAGAATATCCTGATGCATGTTCAATAATCCAGGTAGAAAAAAAAAAAAAAGTTAAATCAGGTCCTCTGGATGGATTAAAAAATAAGTAAGTAAACAAAATAAAATTGTAGAGCACTGGGCTGTGCAACATGCTGCACAACAGCTCAGTGGTTAATGCTGTTCCCTCACAGCTAGAACATCCTGGGTTCAATCCCCAGTTGGACCTGGGGCCCTTCTGTGTGGAGTTTGCATGTTCATGTTCCCTGCTTGCATGGGTTTTCTCCGCGTATTCCAGCCTCCTTAACCAAAAACATGCATGTTAGGCTGCTTCAGGCCCAGGCCTCCCTTGCAAAAGAGATCTGTGAATTAAATGGGATTTGCATGGTTAAATAAAGGTTGACAAACAAACAAATTTTTAATGCATCCAAAGGACCTGACTTAATTTTTTAGATTATTCCAGAATACTGAATAAATATTATTTAACAAGCATTAATTTTTTTTGACGTGTAGACTGTGTTAATTCAGGTCCTGTATACATTCTAGAATATAATGCTAATTTAAATACGTAAGACAGTGCATTTATGTTTTTTACTTGCTAATGATGGTCGTTAAATTTGTTTTAAAGTAATTAAATCAACCAATCATTGCAGCGGTGAAATGCTGCCACCTAGTGGCCCAAAGCTGCAAGCATTAAACATTAAATTTCAAAGCTGGTTAGTTTTATTCAAATGAAATCAACTTTCTCCAACTGCAGGAAGCCACTCACCGTTCACTGTTTTAAACGCCATTTTTATAAAACAAACGTTTTCTTTATTTGTGTATATGAAGAAGTACCAGCCAGCTGAGCACACAGGAAGAGATCAGGCCTGTTTGCATGAGCGCAGACACACACATACGCGCGCGCAAACAGGTAGGTCGGCACTTTCATCCTCCTGCCCGCTGACAGGAAGCGCGCGCCTCTTTCTCTCTAGTTGCTTCATTGAAGCCGCAGCTTGAGTTTCTGTTCGACTTTTTTCCGCAGCTGTGACTCGGATCCTTTCGTTTTGTGTCGTTCTTTGACAAAGCGCGCGAGTTTGAAAGATTTCAGGACATACTTTCGTCGGTTGGACATCGCAAGTGTCACTGAGGGAGACGGAGAGATGAGTTCTGGAGGTCTGGGGCTCACCGGTGAGCTGGGGGGCGACATAAGCCAGCAGGAGTTGGACTTCACGGACCTGTTCTTAGACCCAGGTGTGTGCGCGCACTCAAACGCATCATCATGTTTTATGTGAATAACGTAACCTTTAATTGTTCTTATGTACATGCGTTACTGTTTAAATTATTATAATTTTAAAATAGTCACTATGCTCCTCTGTATCAGTTTAGAGTGAAAGATGAAATGTTTTGCTGACTGGACGTTTGTTTTATTGTTTTGAGTGAAGTTTTTTTTCAAGACTCGTTTTAAATAAAAAAAAAAAAAAACATTTTGATTTAGGATGCATAAATTGGGAAATGTTTTTTTTTTAACATAACATACATCAGTTATTATCATAAATCCTGTATTCTCGTATATCTCAGACGTGGTGAATACATAAACCTTATTCTGATTCTTTTACATCAGTGGGATGTGAAAGAAACATGCGTTTTCACATATTATGGATGTTTCACTAAGAGAAATATTTTAAAATAATTTCTCAATTCTTATTTTGCTAATAGATGATCCAGGTGCCCTTTTCCCCGGCGACAGTCAGCCTCCTCTGCTGGTGGTTGATCATCGCTCTGCTTACATCTCCACCCCAGGCCAGCCAGCATCCAGCCAAGACTCACTGGTTCAAACCACAGAGACAACAGGAGCCGTGTTCGACTGCCATGTGCTGACAGCAGGAGCGAGCAACATACCTGCTCCCAGCCCCAGGATTGAGATCACTCCATCAGGTGATTCTTTTAGCTCTCGGACTCTGGACCCGAGCCCCGGCTCCAAAGCTCTAGGAGCCTACAGGGAGTGTGTCAGCCCTGCCAGCAGTAACTCTTCCACAGGCTGGCCAGCCGAGGCCTGCTCTCCTCTGACCTCACCGTGCGTCTCACCACCAAATGGAGGGAACTACGGCATCTCCTTGCCTGCGTTGGACCTGTGCCCAGGCCTGCAGAGCATCCACACTTCTTCCGCCCACTCCTCTCCAGGACCCTCGCCTCAGAACAGCATCACAGACGAGACCTACCTCCAGCCTCATCACCATCGCTCCACCTCACCACTTCCCCATCAGCGTTCCCGCTCCACGTCACCACAGGGAAAGCGCTCTCTTGACCAGGTCCACTCCTGTCAGGGGGGAACACCTGTCAAGCAGCGCTCCCGGAGCCCCAGCCCCATTCCATCACCCCAGGAGCATCTACAGTCTTACAGCCTTCACCAATACCAGACCCAAGCAGGGTTTCAGCCCCAAACTCAGACGGCACAACCAGGTCTGGCGGAGATGCTGAGCGGCCTCAGTTCCAACCTTCCCAGTACAGTCCTCCCAGCAGTGGTGAGAGGCACACATGCTCAGGCCCAGAGGCAGGACTGTGCATATGGAGATGGTTATGACTGGGCTATTGAGCATGAGAGGTTGAACAGGTCTGGACCGGAGGTCAAATCTGAGACATTTTACATGGTCCCACCTGTGTGGCCTCCCACTCAACCTGTTCATCTCGCTGGAAGGCCCACATTCAGGTGATTTGTTGTTTTATTTCCTCGCTTATAATATCACATTACTGCACATAAATGTCCTACAGTGCAAGATTTTAAAAATATATATAATAATAATAATCTTGTTTAATTTAATTTCTATTTCCACTTCTCTGCCCCAGTGGTCTCTCCGTGGCTCCACTTCCCTCCTTGGAGTGGACATTGCCCAGTCAGTGCGGCCAGTATGAGCTACTGATCCAGCAACAGCCCAGATCCCATCACAGAGCTCACTACGAGACCGAGGGCAGCCGAGGAGCGGTGAAGACACCTAATGGAGGGCATCCAGAAGTCCAGGTGTGTCGAAACATACATAAATACAAGATAAGGGGGAAAAAAAACGTTAAAGGTTTACAAAAAAAAGCAAAAAGGAGAGCATGAGATAATAAATGGGGAGTGATATTTCCTGGTTGATGTTGTGGTGATGTAGCAGCCATGCAAATGAAACAAGAGCGTCATGCTTTAACAGTGTCTTCACAAAGTCACAACTCCCTCTGTTGTCATGATTAGACCATTTGTTCTAATCTGCTATAATGAATACAGTGGTGCACATTAAGAACGATAACCTAACTTATAAATAATAACAAATGGTCATGTTTTCTTACTGCCGTACTGAGTTAAAAATAAACCTCGCTGTTGCTTTTTATTACACTGCTGCACAAATGCCATGAAATATGCAAATCAGTGTTCTTGCTCTGCTGGTTTGATGAGTGGTGAAAGCATCACCTCAGCAATTGACTGGGCTTGGAATGAAGTTTTCGAAAACAGTCCTACGGAGTGAAAACATGCATTTAAAGAGTGTTGTTGCCTTCAACAGCTTCTTGGGTACCACGGCACAGCTCCACTGGGGCTGCAGGTCTTCATTGGGACGGCAGACGAGAGGATCCTGAAACCCCACGCCTTCTACCAAGTCCATCGCATCACGGGGAAGACCGTCACCACACCCAGTGTGGAGAGGATGGTCAATGGGACGAAAGTGTTGGAGATCCCTCTGGAGCCAAAGAACCACATGAGAGTGGTGTGAGTAAAACCAAAAAATGTCACACATACATCTGAAATGCTCAGAAAATGTTCCCACACACCTGTTTGTCATCTGTGACCTCGTTTTTATAAGGCAAGTCTGCAAACACGCAGTTTTTGCAACAGATATTGGGAACCTGCGAGGACCAACCTGCTTTCTTTTGATATATATATATATATATATTTTTTTTTTGTAAATTTAAACAGTTATATTTCTGAATTCAGCTGGGGGACCATAGCTTCTTATGAGGGCCTCAAAAATACGTAAGTTTCTTCAGTCCCAAAAGGCTGCAGTTACTGCTCATGGAAACATAACATGCGTCATTTCCTGTGTGTTGGAGAGTTGTTGTTTTTTTCCAAGAAATCTCTATCAGACTGTGTGTTTACAGCAGCAGAAACGTTTGATGAGTCACTTTAAGACCGTATCAAATAATTCATTTTTTGAGGCAAACCCTTTGACTAAAACAAAACTAGGTCAAAAACAGCTTAAATGTCCCCTGGGGGTAAATTGTTGCAATGGAAAACAAATTTAAAAGGTTAATTTCAATTCAATTTATTTATATAGCGCCAATTCACAACAAAGTTGTCTTAGGGCACTTTACAGAAACATTCACATATATGAAAACCCAGTTAGTAAAGTTCTCTATCTAAGGAATCCAGCAGACTCGTTGAATCTTCACTTCGTCACAGTTTCCCATCCTGAGCAAGCACAGTGACAACAGTGGAAAGGAAAAAACTCCCTTTTAAAAAGAAGAAACCTCCAGCAGAACCAGGCTCAGGACAAGCGGCCGTCTGCTTTGACCAGTTGGGTTTGAGAAGACAGGAAGGAGAGACAAACACACACTCCAGATAACTGTAGGTGCAGGTGCACTTGAAAGACAAAAAAAAACACATGTTAAGGATAGAAAATATAATTGCAAATACAAAACAGATTAATCAGAGTAAGTAAAGACAGTAACATAGTGAAGCAATGTGGTCAGTTTGTCCTCCAGCAGTCTAAGCCTATAGCAAGCCAACCCTAACTATAGGATTTAGTAAAAAGGAAAGTCTTGAGCCCAGTCTTAAAACTGAACGATGTGTCAGCCTCATGGACAGAAACTGGTATTTGGTTCCACAATAGAGGAGCCTGATAACTGAAAGCTTTGCCTCCCATTCTGCCTTTGGAAACTCTAGGAACCGCAAGTAAACCTGTAGTCTGGAAAAGGTGGCGCTAAAATATAATAAAACCCCTTTAAAAAATATTCACAAGAAAATAGCAAGGTAGCTAGCTATTGACAGAGTGAGACTCTGTGCGATCAGAAATAGTTTTCAAACAAAATGGGAAGAAAAACCTAATTTTGGACGTCTGAGCCCTTTTTTAATGGCTGTTTGTTTTTCGCCATTGCACAGGATTGACTCGGTTGGGATCTTGAAGCTGAGAAATGCAGACATTGAACTAAGGAATGGCGAGACGGACATTGGACGAAAAAACACGCGTGTCCGTTTGGTGTTTCGTGTCCACATTCCTGAGCCTGGAGGTCATCTCGTGTCACTTCAAGTGGCTTCTCATCCCATTGAATGCTGTAAGAAATGCTTTAATCATAAAGAGTTACGTTCTTTAAACAGGGTCATGTATAAGTGAAGGTGTCTTTGATGGTACTTCATTAGCATCACGTCTTGTTGACACCTAATGCTCTCACAATAAGCTTGCGTTTCACATTGCTGTAAAGCTACTGCTTTAATGAGGCTGTTTCAAGAAATCAAAGTCTTTGCTTCATTTATTTTTTATCATTTAAAAAAAATGGTCTGGCTCATGATCAAAAATGGAAAGGGTTTTTTTTGGTTGTGCACCACCTCCAAATTAAGCCTCATAAATTATGAATGATATGAATGCATAATTTTGTAGAGGCAAACTAAAACAAAAAATACTTTAATATCTATAATGCATATACTTTACCTACACAAAGGTTCTTCCAGTGCCAGAGAAATAAATACAATAACAGGATTGCTTCTCCTCTGTGGTTGCTGATACATCCGTGTTTTCATGTTTCCACAGCTCAGCGCTCGGCTCAGGAGCTGCCTGCAGTCGAGCGGCAGGACCTGGACCGATGTTCTGTACTTGGCGGTCAGCAAATGGTTCTAACTGGACAGAATTTCACATCGGACTCCAAGGTGATATTTTCAGAAAAGACACAAGGTGAGGATTGCCAAAAGTCATAAAAGTTTCCACCTATGTAAAGTCTGTTTACCTCATGGGGTCCCAAAGAGCTACAAGAAAATTTGGATATATATATTTGGATATATATTAACAAACAACAACAAAACAACTGCAATCTATGTCAAGGTCAAAGTTCTTGATTGTCATTCACAGCACATGTGGTACATGAGGTGGAATGAAATTGTGTACACAGGGTCCCAGTTACATCCAACAATAGCAAAAATATAAAGCATAAAAAGAAACCGTAAACAAGGATCTAATATATCAACAAAGATATACGCTAAACGAACGCCAAACGGCACGCTAAAAGATCTAAGGTATATGCTAGTCACTGATACTGCAAAACAATACACCGAACAAAGGTTGTAAGCTCAATCATCCACATATATAACAACAAAAAAGGTTCAATTGTGTCTTCGGGACCAGTTTCTTTAAGGGAGAAACGTTTCGTCCCCCATCCAGAGGACTTCCTCAGTCTACGGCCGGCCAACAAGATACATGGAACAGCAGCAGCATGAACATGAGCGTTTGAGGGTGGATGTGTATCTATCAATGTAAGAATGCAAAAAAAAAATTAACCTGCTGTTTGTCAAGTGGCTGTTATATATCATTTCTGCAGTCTTTGGTTTCTCTACATAAGAAATTAAATAGTCAAACTAAACTTGTTTACCCTTCAGCGCTCTTTTTGTCCACACTGCTAATTTACTCAATGATGACAGGACGGGAGTGGATTTTAATCAAATTTACAAATTTTGAATTCAATTTCAAAACGACTACTATTGAACAACTATTAGACTTTAAATGTCAATCTATAAATTTTACTCAAATTTGTAATTTTAACTTCTTTGCTGTTTCAAAGATGCATTCTGAGTGTGTTTTATGTTAATCTGTGATCTTTATGTGGTCAAATTTAGATTTTAAATTGCTGCTGTGGTTAAAATAGGCTATTAATAATTAGCGGCTTTTCGATTTCTATCTGAAAAGCACCCCCCAAGACCTCTCGTAGATTTTATTTTACATTATTTGCATATCGCTTGGGAAACATCAATAAGTGACGCATATCTTCCTGCAGCCCCCCACTTTCAGCTTTGACAAAACATACCACAAATTTAAATTACAGTATTACATTTCTGCTGGAAGTGACAACGTTATTTCTAAATGTTTATTTCTAAATGGAAAATTCTCACCTTTATGGGGCTCTTTCTGCCCACACAACACAGTTCGGTTAGTTAGTTTGAGAGGACGGGTAGCTTTAGCTGGTAGCTTGTAAAGCCTCTCTGTTGCTCGGTGTGGGGTTATGTGCAAAAGGATGTGGTTTGAGAGATAAAGATTCAAAGCTAAAGCAGGAACTTTTTTTTTTCTTTCATTGCGTGGGCTGAACAAAGCAGTGGCAGGTGAAAACTGAGACGTGAGTGTAATGCTAAAACAGAAACAAAAAAGAAGCAACTGTTGTCCACTGTCTGTGAACAAATATGCTCACGTACTGTATAATCTGACTGATGCTGTGGGATTGCTTAGAAATCCAGCTTTTCATACTCAAAAAAAAACATTTAACGAGAGTATGTTTTGAGAAATGTTACATGAGTACAGTTAGCAGCCATTAGCCTAGCTTCACTTCAACATTAAACAAATATCAACTCTTTTATTCCCGCTTTTTTATTCATCAAAATTTTACCTTTAAAAAAAGACATGGATTGCTATATTACTACATTAGTTTTCCAATTTATATATATAAAAAAATAAAATAAAATGTCAGTGGTAACATTTTAACATTTTGCCATGTTTTTTACAGAGCTAAGTTTTTATTTGTGCTAGGCTACAAACTACTAGCTACAGCCACACCATTTTTGTCCCTCTCTGAAAACTGATTTAATGTGTTTACTGAACTTTTTTTTTATTTGTTTTGGGGTTTTTTTGCGGGGGGGACTATACTGAATCCATTCCATGTGCACTTTCTTCTTTTTGCTTTTAGAAGGTCAGCAAATCTGGGAGGTTGAGGCCACTGTGGACAGAGACAAAACCCAAACAGTAAGTCACATTCAACCTGTTGGTTCTGTAAGTTCACTTGTCCCATGTTTTTTTTTTTTTCCACCTTCACGTGTGTGTATTTATGTGTTTTCAACTTGTGACTTGTGTTAACTGTGTAAACTATGGCACCACTAGTCTCTTAACAGAAAGTCAAATTTGGTCAGTTTGCTGACACAGTCATTTAATTTTATTCTGACTTTTAATCTGTGGCAACATAAAGTCACCAAATTAATAGTCTTTTTTTAATTCTGTGCTGCTAGAATATGCTGTTTGTTGAAGTCCCTCCCTATCGAGTCCGAACCATTTGCCAACCGGCTAAAGTCAACTTCTACGTCATCAATGGGAAGAAGAAACGCAGTCAGCCTCAGCATTTTATCTACACTCCAGTGATAGGTGTGTATCTTAGTACTTCCTGTCCTCACATCACCGAGAAAACAGCTTTACCTTAATGTTTGAGCAATGGGAAGACTTGCCGAATGTCAGCCTTAAGCAGTGTAAGGCCTAAGGAATGGTCATTAATGTTGAATATTAAATATAGGCTAAAATAAACAGCATTCTTCATTTTATACCGAAGAATGCAGGAAATTGCAACAATTTAGACCAATTATATCTGCTAAAATTAAGAATTAGGTTTCAACCCCATAATATTTCAGCTAACATCTAGAAGCTTCTTGCTTCTAGTCAGTGACTTGTTGGCAGCAAACAACAGCAATAACACGAGTTCATTTTGAGTAAAAGTATCCTGTTAATTTCTCTCTATACCGGGGGAAATCCACTCTTGTTTTTACTTTTGTTTTAAAACACATACATGTAGGACTCACACACAATATACCTTTATACTCACACTAAACAAGAAATAATGTGTTTCTTTTTTTAATCTATTTTCCGATGGGCAGATTACCGTAAATAAAGATGGTGCACTGAAAGAACTAATCACCTTTTTTAGACTGCGCTCTCATAAAATTAGTAATATCTTGAAAGAGCTAGCCATGAAAATCTACCAGTTTACATGTATTCAGTGAAATAATTTAACACATTGGTATTATTTATACAACTAGTTTTGCTCTTTTTAATCGATTCATCACATATTTCACATTCTGTACTTGTTCATGCAAATTAGGAAAAAAGCAACAAGAGCATTTTACATAAACCTCATTTCTTAAATTGCCACTTTCAGACTAGCAACTTAAGATGAAATTAACCATGTGCTAAGGCCAGTATGACCAAGATATATGAGCCTTTTTTTTCATTTGCTGTCAATTAACTATAGGTAAAGTTATTATGAAGAGTATTAAGGTATAGGTACTAAAGCCATTACTGTATAACCATTTAACTTTGCAGTGTATGTAGACATAAGAGGGCAATTCAAGCAACCACCGTTTTACATTTTACCACACTTTTCATCAACTCTGTCTTTAGTTTCCCTTAGATGTTGCATAACCCAAATATTCACAAAACCCCATGTGGTTAATGTGTTATCACAGCTATAGTCTCTTAGTTATTCTATCATTGCTTTGATGATAGCAATATATTGTTTTCACTTTTTCTAAAGAGTTCAAAAATCTTTTTTTGTTTCCCCTTTAGCCATTAAAGCAGAGCCTGTGGATGAATATCAGTTGAATCTGTGCAGCCGTGCAGATAATCAGTCCCTATCTGGTATGTCAATGAAGTCCCTTTGCCATCAGCTGGAGCAGGAGCTCAACCCTCAAGCCTTGAATGTTTCACCAACACTGTACCATCCAACTACTGTAGACCCCCGAGGCCACATGTACGCCCCCGAATCGTTTGATGAGCCCCCCTATTACCAGTCCAGAGCTGGAGCTCTCATCAACAGCTCGATGATGTACCACCCTTCTAATCAGTTTTACAGCAACTCCAGCGCTGCCCTGCTGTCCCATTCTGCCCCAACGTCCTGCCAGTGTGTGAATGCCAAAACCATCATGGCCAAACTAGGTGAAGGTCCACAGGTTGGGGAATCTTTTGAGGCCTGTTTGTTGTCAAGACATCAAGCTTTTGTGCAGACATCTCTGCCTCTGGGAAGTTCGCCGCCTTCAAGATACGTCCACGTGAAGACAGGAAGTCGGATGGAGCCAAGTGGGCAGCCTCTCCACCAGACTGAACCCGTTAAAGGAAACCACGAGGATAAAGCTCCAGAGGGGATAACAGTCAAGCAAGAGAACCTCAGCTACACCTACCTGGAGGATGGTGAGCATTAAGCAATTCTTTTAATTACCGTATGCCTTCCAGACTCTCTTTCCATCTCCATGTCTGCTTAATCCATTTAAATGTCTTCATTTGTTGTTTTTGGTGAAACAGATATCCCCAAATTACTGCTGGAAAATAAATACACACTGGATTCTTCCCACTTACATACCGGTAGATTTATGTTGTTTATTTTCAGCATAAGATAAATTATCAGTTTTCACAAAACTGAAACTGAACAGTACTTTTCTCATTACCAAAAGGCAATCACAAACTGTTGGAAAGGTATACATGTATGAGAGTGAAGCATGTTGGACATTACTTTGATTGTATTCAAGTGTTTGTTGCCTGCCAACAAATTAGTTCCTGGCATTAGGGGTGGTTGTGGTCCAGCTGTAGAGCGGTCATCCTTCTTGTATCTTCCAGCTGGAAGACGATTGTTCTGATCGCAGCCATGAGAACAAATACGTACAGAAAAAGAAGTGGCATGTGTTCCAATGAGGCAACAACAAACTCCTTTTCTTTTTCCCAAATGTACTGTCTTCTTTTTTTACTGCACCCCACAATGATTATGTTCTCTCTGCTGTTTTTTTTTTTTTGTTATAAACAAATGACTATCAAAGCAGGTGGCATGGTGGAACAGAGGTTAGAGCTGTAGCCTCACAGCAAGAAGGTTATTAAATCACCTCCTGACCTGGAGCCTTTGTGTGCCCATGCTCTCCTTGTGCATGTGTGGAAAGGCCTGTTGTGATTAACAATAAATCAATTAATTGCATGATAAATGAAAATTATCAGCCTCATTTTCATTTATCGGCTTTATCGTTTCTTCATGTCTCTCTCTTTCTACTGAACACACCGGATGCCAAAAGGCTCAACTCCAGTGCTCTTCACTGACCCTTCCCTTTTTCTTTAAAATCTATTTTAACTGTCTAAAATCACGTTTTTGGATCGTTGAAAGCAGCTAAGCTGAGAAGCTAAGCTACGAGCTAAGCTAACAGGCTGACCTCGGGGAAAAAAAAACTCTGTCTTGTCGCGCTCCAAAATTCATGGTTGAAACCCGTGCCTTTGTGTAAAAAGTTGTTTTTCTCTGCAAAAAGAAGCTGAACACTTGTTTAATGTTTTTGTATTAAAAGCTTTGTGTGAAAAATGCTATGCTAAAGAGCTCAAACCACACCGAGCATCCGCCGTTTTGAGAACTGGGAAAAAAAAGGAACGAGAGGCAGCCCATGTCACGTCAAGGGGCCTCCCTCCCATTTTTCTTAAAGAGACGCGCTGCTCGCTCCCTCACTGTCCATCCTTCGGTTCAAACTGTCTTATGCTGCCATCCAGTTGTCAAAAAATATGCTACATGCAAAACAAATTGAACATTTCTTCTTAAACTTGCCAATAATTACTAATTATTGTCAAATTTCAAACACTATTATTGTTTAATCGCAATAATTTCTGAGACAATTAATCGCCCAGCAAAATGTGTTATCATGACAGGCCCATATGTGGTGTTTTCTTTGGGTACTCCAGTTTCCTCCCACTGAATAAATCCATGCAGGTTAGGCAGATTAGGGTAACTAGTAACTGTAAATGTGTCCATAGGTGTGAGGGACGGTGTGAATGGTCGTTGTTGTTTTTTGTTTTCTGCTGGAGATAAGCACCAGCTCCCATGCAGCCTGGAAAAAAGCTTGTTGGATGGATGGATGGATGGATGGATGGATGGATGGATGGATGGATGGATGGATGGATGGATGGATGGATGGATGGATGGATGGATGGATGGATGGATGGATGGATGGATGGATGGATGGATGGATGGATGGATGGATGGATGGATGGATGGATGGATGGATGGATGGATG